CTAAAGCAGGAAACTGTCCGAAATAACTGACTTTCTTCTCTATGGTCGTTACTGTGAGATACATCGATTTAAAGCATAATAGTGGGATACTATTGCCATCTGTGGACAATTTATGTAAGCGCAACAGAATGTACCTTTTTTAAAATAAATAAAACAGATGGTGTCAAAAGCATTGTACTTATAAGTGAAATCAATCGCTACTGAAAATAGTAAAAGCCAGAAAATCACTGACACTCTCATATTGAAATATCTCTATATATCTAAATATATATTCATTCAAGCTAAAAGACTGTTTTAAACCAGTTCAAAAATGTTATCGCTTATTGAACATTCAATTTTACCCATATATGCTTCTCACATCTAAACCCTTCTACCTGTATAGGCAAAATAAGAAAAATTGTGATCCATTTCATGTCAAATCTCGAAAAAACAAATGCCTACGTTAGGAGCCAATTGTCTGTGACATCAACCACATAAGAAAAGCCTAGCTCTTTTGCCATCTGAGGTGAATTGTTTGTTTGTTTGAAGTTAAGCACAAAGCTACACAATGGGCTATATGTGCTCTGCCCATCACAGGTATCGAAACCCAGTTTCTACCGTTGTAAATCCGCAGACATACCGCTGTGCTACTGGGGGGGGGGGCTTTATTACAAGGACTGTAACATGAAGATTTTTGCGATCTTATAGATTGCTTTATTTTATTAAAATTTCTGATGTGTAGATGGCAGCAGCATTCAAACGCTGCGTAATTAATACTTGAAATAGTAGGTACTCGATAAAACTCCATGATTACAAAATGTAGGACAACAAAGATGATTGTACGTTGTTGAGCTTCGAGCTTGTTGAAGTTTTACTAATTGCTATAATATAGAATTTAATAAATAAACTAGTTTATCGGTGTTAGTAAACAAAGTACTACCATGAACTTGTGATACTTGCGTTGTTGGCGTAACTAGTCGCTGTTTGAACTATTCAAAATATCTGTGAATCACACAATTTTGATACAGGAGTCAGTAGCCAAAAGACGCTTTTTATTTAATTTAGATCGTTTTTACTTATCCAAAAAGAAAAAAAGTTGTAACGAGTTTTTTGTGTTTTTTTTTATGGTCATGACAATGAGAATAACTGAATACATTTCTACTAAAATGAACTTCAGTGGTTTTTAATATGATAGGAAATCACTGCTTCAGTTACCAAAGACTGGCAGATTTTATGAGAAATTACCAATTAATAACAAACTTATCTTATGAACTTTATGCCTCATTTTAACGTAACCTCTAATAGTTACCTTTATTAACATTGATGCATTCAATATATTTTCTTATCATGATTTTCATACGAATGAATATACTATTTACCCGAATCGAGGGGAAAAAATATTACTAGTGTTTCTATAGTAACAAAAATTGTATTTCATCCAGAAAGACCCCCCCCCCCCCAGTGGCACAGCGGTATGTCTTCGGACTTACAACACTAGAAACCGGGTTTCGATACCCGGGTGGGCAGAGCACAGATAGCCCATTGTGTAGCTTTGTGCTTAATTAAAAGCAAACATTCAGAAAGAGTGGCAACTAGGTGAGGCAGTTTTCAAACACTTTGTCCAGATGTTTATCATTATTATATATATATATATCTGTGTATTTCGCTTTAAACAAGCGAATATATGTATAAAATTGATAACAAGGTAGTTGAAAAATACTATCGATTAATACACAAGTAAACTTAGATCAATATGCTATATTTAGTTCATACTATACTTACTACTGACACGTCTTATGTAGGTGTTCGGAGCTTTAATCTTGGGCTAGAGATTCATTAAATCTGGTTCGAATGTGTAACATGTAACACTTTCCATTATACAGAAGTAAGTCTTCTTTTACTGGTGCCTTTTGCTTTTTGCTCCAACAAAGTTTTAAAATCCAGGAAAATTAACGATCATGAAGAACAATGATAGAATATTTAGTGTGTTTTAAACGTACAAACCTTAATCAAATATCAGCTTTTTCGTTGTGAGTGAGGTTTTTGAATTTTAATATCTACAAAGAAAATGTTTTATTTATCTGTCTATCTACCCATCTATCTGCAGATAAATCTGAATATTTTAATCTCTTAATTACGTCAATAGAGATAATTCAATGTTGTTTAAAATGCTTAAATACACAATGATTAGGAATTATTTGATAAATTGCCCAACACTTAACATTTGTAAATTTAGTTGTAATAACACAACAAACGAGTTTTTTCTACTTTTTATCTATTAAAGAAATTTCATTCAAAATATAGATTCGCTAGCGTGAGTTTAGAAGGTCCGTGAAACCTGTATTGTCGTGTTTTTTTTTAGTTATCACTGAAAATAATATGAATTTAGAAAACAGATGCCAAATATTTCTATAGTAGTACCAACAAGCTGAACTTATACAAAAACTGAGAAACAAAAGAAAATTAATGAGAGTTATTATCAAAAAGCATATCTTACAGATAGGAAATCAGTTAAATCGTTTCACGTTGGTATTAAAATATGTTAATATTCAGTAAAAGAAACAGCTGTAGGCTCAAACACTCATAAACAGATCTTATAGTGACCTTGTAACTAAATCAAAGCCTAGCAGACAAGAATTAAATACAACTATATTATATTACCTTTTCATAATTAGTGTGGAATTTACCTTAGACAAGCATACTTGTGTATCTTTCTAAACGTCTGAGCAAGTGACCTAGTCCTAAATAGTTAATGGCATCTTTGTGGACTGAATGTAGGAAGGTCTTAAACGAACAATACTTCTCTACCTCAGATAAAGGTTACAGACTATAACTCTTCGTCTATAGGCTTATACTTGCGTGCCCGTGTTTCTGATTCATGTCCTCCTGGAGTAGGATCATACTCATTCCGAGAGATGGAACAGAGGCTTGTACAAGTTAATGTGAATTGATAATTTATCCTTCAAATTTGTTTACTTGGAAGAATCACCGAAGTAGGTTACCTAAGGTTTGTGAAATACCAAACGAGGACTCCATTAAATAAAAAAATATGGGATGTCCAATACTATATCTTTATTACGTTGTGTGTAACTGTATGAAGACGTTTCTTCCCAGTAGACAGAAGTTAATCAATGAGTTAGAAGTCAGCCAATCGGTAAGTTGCACAAATATTATGTTTTATGAATGAATATTTTATGCATTTATACAATTGTTGTATCTTCGTTGTTCGTGTTAGAAATTATTCTCTTCGGAACCTGCACTTTGTGGATACTTGATAGTTTCCTGCCAAGTATCAGAGTAACTTAATACCACAACACCACTGTTCTGTGATGCAATAATCGCTAGAAAATAACATTAATAAATTAATAAAAAGTATAAAATTTATGAATGTTATTTTCTAGCAATATGAAAAAACAACAAAACAAAGAGCTAACATAAAAGGTAAATATTTTATTATTATATAAAAAAATTGTAAAGAAGCAACATTATCAAAATTGCCCAAGTCTTATAACTTGCTTATGAGCTTTGAAATCAGAGTATAAAATGTTACTATTGATAATGTATTTGTATTTTTGAATCATATTAATACCGTATTCTAGGCACAAAATATTAAGTACACATGTAAAATGTCCCACATGACTAGAGACTCAACATTTTGGTTAGTAAAAGTGAATACAAAAGGTTTGTGTCTCTGTGACTTGAAAACTTTGTGTTCACAAGCCAAAATAATTTATGTTTATTTGTTATTAAGCACATGAGGCGATCGATGCTGTGCCAATTGCGAGAATGGAAACCAGAATTTTAGCGCTAAAAGCATTCAAACTTACCGCTTAGACACCGAGGGAGTTCATTCACTAGATATCCAATTGTTGAATAAAATGAGATTAGTCTAAATTAAAGTAACTTTAAAGATAACTGAAATTATGCAAGTGACGAGATCTTGAATTAGTTTCTGAAGGAAAAGACAGAAACAAAGAAATTCAGAAAAATAACACACAGATTTGACAAAGATAAAGCACAAAAGCAAAACGATGTAGCTGTATTTCACACCAGTTTCGCTCGGATTTTCTACCCATTGTTTCAGGGAGTAGTCTTGTAGAATAATAAGATGAAAAATTAATTGTTCTTACTTCATAGTATGTAGGATTTCTTCTTTTGCAAACAAGTAGACGTTTCCCACAAACGTAGCCATTGCTTCCCTGTTGCGATTACATTCCTGAGTCAACTGTAGAACTAGTAAAGTATGAACCGACTACATTCCTGAGTCAACTGTAGAACTAGTAAAGTATGAACCGACTACATTCCTGAGTCAACTGTAGAACTAGTAAAGTATGAACCGACTACATTTCTGTGTGAACTGTAGAACTAGTAAAATATGAACCGACTACATTCCTGTGTGAACTGTAGAACTAGTTAAGTATGTACCGACTACATTCCTGAGTTAGCTGTAGAACTAGTAAAGTATGAACCGACTATTTTTCTATGTCAACTGTAGAACTAGTAAAGTATGAACCGACTACATTTCTGTGTAAACTGTAGAACTAGTAAGTGAACCGGTCTTTTAAGACCCTCTTCACGAACATGTTTCTCGGACTTAGAATGTTTGTCAAGTTTCCCGGTATTCCCAGTTGCTTTTCGAAAGTTGGTAAGCGGAGTTGTTATGGAAACACCATCTGCTCTATGTAGTGCATCTAAATAATTTTTCACACCTTCTCGGCTGTACTTACAAAACGTCCCTCCAAAGGATGCATCAAAAACAGCCATTCATATTTCTCTTCCCATTTCTTCTGGTATTTAACTGAAGTCGATGAAGAGGGTGAGGAAGCTGCAGTAGCAAGGGTTGACGAATCAACATCACTGGTTCCAAAACTCGGTTCAGTTTGAGCCAAAGACTCAACATCAGCACCACTACTCGCTACCTGTAGTCTAGGTTGTAACAAACTGTAGAATTGATTTCAGCGACATACTTCACCACAGAAAAGTTCAAATCACAACGTTAAATAACGCACAAAACAAACAAATAATATAAAAATCCGTGCTTTATTAGCACGAACCATTTTTCTAGAAACGTTTACACATCTAATAGTGCCTACACACTTCGAGAAATTTGAAGAATGTTCGGTAATAAATCTTTGTTTAGATTATACAGTTTAACTTTAATTTTGGGTTCTTTGGTACAAGCCCTCATCCTCGAGAAGTTACCAGAATTTTGCGTTATTCCATTTGTGTAATCCTTGGGTCCAGATGTTGGATGAAATAATAGTAAATCCTGACTCATGCGTCACGACTTTCACTCGAATGTTAACATCTCTCTGTAAAATAATAATAATAATAACGTCTGGAAAAAAAGACAAATTAGTTATAATATTTCAGGGGAATGTTTTGTACAGGGGAACAACTTAGTATTCTAGAAATCGATTTTATTTACATGACAGAAGAAAACTTATTGCAACTCAAAACACCATCAGTTCAAAAACCTGCATATTTTTACACAGAACATTATTTGGACAAAAAGAGTGTCATACGACAAAAATTCCTATAGGAACAAGACCAAATCTACTAACGCAGAACGTTATTCTCACTGTGCAATTATATTTATTTTTGCTGGGATAAGTTTTCATTATAATACTGTTTAAAATACCTTCATTTGTCATTTGTTACGTTAGTAAATACTTAAACACTCCTCACGGTGTACTGTCTTTGGTGTTTTCCTTTCATCCTCTTAGTTTAGAAACGAAGGATGACATATCAAGCAGCTCTACAAGGACAGTAAGAGCCTACACATAAAAAGATAGCTTTATAAGATCCTGATTGCTATATAACGTTGTTATTTTATACATATCATTGCTTTTTCTTACTACATCGAAATACGTGTAGGTATATGTACTGGTTTCATAAAAAGACAAATATAGTTAAAACCGCATAGACGACGAAAATATCCAAATTAAATAATAGGTTGAACAATCGTCAAGTTGTAAACTGTATGATCTGACGAAAAGCGCTAGCTCGAAACGTCATCCTTTTTAAATAAAAATATATAAAAACTTGGCGATTGTTCAACCTATTAATCAACAATAGAAAACTGTTTATGATATGTGGATAACTTTATAGTATTATTGTTACCTATTATCACATGACGTTCCTTTTTGGTGTCACTTTAATTCCTTCACAGAAAAAGTCACAGTAGAGCTGCATGGTTTAATATAGCATGTAGTTTCTAACCATGTAAACTGGAGAATATATCATTTATATTTTTACTTATGGAATAACCAGATGATTATTCTGGATTAAGAGTTCTCTCCAAATGTCAGAAAGTAGATGTTACGACAGCGGAAGTCACATGACGCTGGTATCACGTGATGAGTTTCTAGAAGGATCATGAAGGCCCGAGTGCATTATAGACGCCCTCTTTTTTAGTATATAAACCCGGCAAATAAAGCGGAGATAATAAGTGCCTGAATCGTTGTGAATTATAGCGTGTGTTTAAGTTAAAGTGACTGTGGAAATTCTGTGTATTGCAAAGTTGTATCGAGGAAAAATAAACTAGTCTTATTTAAGAAAGTACTTGTATCGCTGAAGTTCCTCGGGAAGAATTTATACCGGAAATTAACAAACGACCAGAGACGTAACATGGTGTTGTTTTTAGTGTGTGTGTGTTATGCACTCATCGATTTTGATTTATTTTGATTATAAATAAAGACTAAATTGCACTTTAATTTAAACTACGTTCAATCCCTCTCTTTTTTTATCAACTCAGTCCGAGTCAGAAATGCAGTTTAACTCTGTGATACATTTCTTACCATTCCTCTTTTCTTTTTTGAGGTTACTATTCTTGTCTATAAAGCTAATAATTTCATTTGTGGATACTACATTAGTTCTAGCTATATTCTAAATGAATGCAAACGTGAACTTTTTAGAGCCGCTGTTAAAATCAAATGAATTTATATCAAGAAAATATGGAAAAAAATCAGTAGGGTAGATGAGAAAATATTTAAGTAAGTAAGAAAGAAACAAAAAATGTTAATTTCATCTTAAAAGTACGGTTTTGATAATTTATTTTGTTATTCAAATCGCCATATTTCTCTCTATAAATGTTTTTTTTTTTCAGGCTATCGTTGAAATAATTGAAAGTAAAGGCATTTATTCATTTTAGGGTTTCTACAGTAACTACGCTGTAGAGGGAAAATCTCACACTTATATTAAATATTTCATGTTAATAACTTGCTGCAACAATTTTATAGTGGTTGTGTGAAATAGTAATGTCATGACAGCGGAAGTCACGTGACGCTGGTAAAACGTCTGGATAGTGTACATGGATGATGTCATTGTATTTGCAACAACTTTTGATGAGAAAATGTGCCAGCTAGAGGAAGTATTCAAGCGTTTAAAAACAGCAAACCTCAAACTCTATCCCAAGAAATGCCACTTGTTCCAGAAAGAGGTGCTTTACTTAGGTCACATTGAAAGTGAGCATGGTGTGCAAACTGATCCTGACAAGGTGAAAGCAGTGCGTGATTGGTCAACACCAGACAATATGGGAAAGTTAAGAAGTTTCTTGGGACTCTATACCTATTACCCGAAGTTTGTGAAGGACTTTGCAACTATGGCAGCTCCACTACATTATTTGACCAAAAAAGGCCAGAAGTTCGAATGGACAGTTTCTTACCAGCATGCTTTCAAGACACTGAAAGAAAAATTGGCCTCAGCTCCACTTTTAAAGCTTCCAGATCCCTCACTGCTGTACATACTGGATTGTGATGCTAGTAATGTCGGAATTGGAGGAGTGTTGTCTTCAGTAGTGTTTTGAGTAGACCAGAGAGGAACTACTGTGTAACACGGAGGGAACTCCTTGCTATAGTAAAGAGTCTGGAATATTTCCATCCTTACCTCTATGGGGCTAGGTTTACCATCAGGACAGACCATGCTGAATTACGCTGGTTAAGATCATTAAAGAACCCAGAGGGACAACTGGCACATTGGATCGGGAAAATAGACTAGTATAATTATGATATTGAATATAGAGAAAGAAAATCTCATGGAAATGCGATGGACTGAGCTGAAGACCCTGCGAAAATGACTGCAGACAATGCTGCAAAAGAGAGGTTGAACTAACCAGGTGCCATCAAGCTGAAGTCAAAGCGACTGAAGAAGTTGATGATGGTGATGTGGAACCAGGTATAGATATTAAAGCAGAGCAGGAGAAAGACCAAGATTTGAAGCCAAAAATTGATTTTCTAAAAGCAAGTGTCTTGCGCCCTGCTTGGGAGAAGGTGTCTAGTCTAAGCTCTGTGACAAAGAACTATTGGACACAATGGGACCAGTTGAAGCTTGAAGATGGTATTCTTCTCTGGA